ATTTTCATATTAGCAGATAGTACATAGGCCGCAAGATGCACGCATTCATATGCACGTTCGGTCATTAGTTTATTTTTGTTTATTTGTATTTGCGTATTTTAATTTTTACAGGTGCGTATTGGTGGGCGGCGGGTGCCGATTTGTTTATTTATCCGCGCAAGTGGTTGTGACGAATTTTCCATGGTGTGCCCGAAGACATTTGCCACATGCGAATGTGTGAAAGCATATGTGTAGGTTAGTAAGGAAAGAAAAGGAAAAAAAGAAGAAAATTCATGTGAAAATTTTTTGTTTTCCTTTAGTTTAATAGTTGAACGTTTTGTTAGCCAGTATTTCGTAAAGTTGTCATATACATACATAAGTACATATGTACATTCATGCCTATCATATATTGATGAATATATATATAAGTGTATTCATAAATCTTAATATACGCCTGATTGCTTGTGGCCGTTCTGAGTCTCTCAATGAATCAGCTAAGGTAGAGTGTGAGTGCCTTTCTTTGGAGTTAAAGGCAATAACAGCGTAAAGTAAGTTCATTAAGATGGATGGCTTAATTTCAGTGGTCGAATTCGTTTGAAATCATATGTAAACATAGACATACACCAAGCATATGGTTATCGATTTGCATACGTATATTTATTTGGTATTATTTGTGCCCTATTGATAGGCCAAGAAAAGCTTATTGATTGTTTGAAGAGCACATGTATTGTGAAATAAGAAAAAACTTTGTTTGAGAGTCGCTGTAGAGAAAATAATAGCACGAAACTTGTTTAATGTTACATCCTCAAAACCAATTCTACATAGTTAGTGAATACATATATATATAAAATTTGAAATTATTCGCTGTTTAGCATTAGCAAAGCTTACATCGATACTAAACGTATGTTTAAATACCAGATACGTCCCTTTATCATGGAAGGTATTTGAGACTATTATGGTAAATAAACCTGGGAAAAGCGCTCTTGAGGCATCGTCATATTGTCCAATCTCACTGTTGCCTATTTCGTCGAAGCTATTTAAAGCTGAACGGAAAAAAGCTTTATACCAATTCATCAATTTGGATTTAGATCTTTACATTTCACATTAGGGCGTTCGGTATGGCACCATGGCTTAATTCATAAAATAACACTTCACTTTCCACAGTACCTAACTAGGTGCTTAGCAACCGCTACTTCRGGATAAAGCAGAGACAATCTTATATCTACTATACTACGTTACGGTCAATAAAAGGCAGGTATACCCTATGTGCCCTGAAACCACTTTTATAGAATTGTTTTTCTACCGACATGCCTATGTCACCAACACGACCGTCAAATTAACAAAAATTAAATTAAAATTTAAAAATTTTCCTTACAAAAATTTGATTTTGTATAGCAGCAATACAGGTATGCTATAGTGGTCTGATCTGAACAATTCCTTCAGAAACTATACCATTGCTTTGGAAAATAATCYATGGACATTTTCATATAGATACTTTGTCAAAAGTAAAAGTTTTCCATACTGTTACTTGAGCTTGATAGCTCAGTTTTAATCTATAATCTTGACAATTTCTTGGCAAGCTATACCGTTGTTTTATTTGCTACAGTAGGCTGATAATGGCGATTTTAAAAAGTAAGCAGCTTCTTAGAAAAAAAGAAAAACATGGACATGTGGAAAGTTTTAGCCAATACCTCAAAAACTGAAACTCTAGTTCATATACATATTGCGAAAAACCACCCTCAAATTGTAAATAAAACGAGAAATATTGAATTACTTATTAATATTTATGTCCTCGAAACTCTTCTCATAAGCACTTTTTGAGATAGCCGTCTGCTTTCTCAGCCAATTTTGTTTTATATCTTCGTTCGACTGAAAATTGGTTAAAAGGAGCGGCAATTTCAGTTTGATGAACAAGAAAATACGTAGCCTAATCCGGTGGTTGATAGGTGAAAGTCATTGGTTACGATCCCACTCTTTTAAAAAAAAAGTTTGCTTTATTGGGACGAGTCGAGCAAGAATGCGTTTCATATCCAAACTATCTACTAAAATCATTTGATTACCAAATCTTTCCATGCATCTAATCACCGTATACGCTATTCAACATTCGAAATAATTTAGCTATCGAAATTTGGTTACAAATACAAAATTTAGGACAATTTATTTTTTCCATAGTTTTATCCATTCTAAAAATCTTAACGCATTACTATGGTATATATACTTAAGGAGCTGTCATAAGARAACTGGTTGACAG